GCAGTTTTAAATAAAATTGCGTTTAAACGCTACTGTAAACTCAAAATTTGAAGCTCTTTCTACAGAAAATTTTTAAGTTATGAAAATCCTTATTTGAAGTCTTTCAGAGCACATTAACTCATAAATACAGTAGTGTTTCCAAATTACTGGAAATGTGCATATTAACTCTGTGATCTGTCATAAAAATTACATTTGTGTAATTTTTGAAAAAGCAAAAAATACCCTGAAATGAACTTTACGTCATATTAAAGAGTGCAATTATCACTATCTGTTCGGAAAGTTTAAAGAAAAAATTTAGGGCCATTTATGAAACAAATGGTGTTTGAGCGTTTTTGAAAATGCAGAGTTTGGGGCTATTTTCACTGAAAACGGTTCAGTTTTCGAGAAACTTTATGTCACATTTAAAGCACAGCTACTCGTAAATACAATAATGTAAATAAATTGCCCTAATATAAATATTAATGACATGAAAGACAAATAAAAATATACATTTTTCTAATTTTGAAGAAACAAAAGAATGAAGCAATATGGCGTTTAAGTCATTTTATTGAGTACATTTAGTACTATCTCTATCAAAAGTTTAAAGAAAAAATTTGGAGCCGTTTCTGAGAAAACCTTATTTCTGTATTTTTTTTAAAATTGTACATATGGCACGAGAATTGCGCAAAGGCTACTAAAATTTTCAAAAAAATGTACATGGCCTAAATTAATTAACTCAATAAATTTTATTTGAAGGAGAAATCTATATCTTTAGTTTTGTAGTTGCAATCGAAAAAATGAATAATTTTGATATTTTCGAAAATTCAGAGTTAACCGTGAAAATCGGACCTATGCCACGTTTATAAGTGTATGTTACTCTATGCTTGCAAGACATTTAAAGAAAAAAAAATTTGACGTTTTTGATAAACTTTTGAAAATGTCGGAGGGCTCGACGTAAGTACCGTGTATTTCCGTTGAAATTTGGAACATTTTGAAGAATGTGCTTCAAGACCTCAAAGTTTCGACTCGAACCAGATAGATAGGAGTTTCTTCAATTTTGAAAAAATCTTACACGAGGTTTAGGCGCTAGTAGTGTTCACAGGCACCAGACGGACGGACGGACGGACGCTCAGACAGAATGATACACGGTCGGACAGACAGACGGACGTTTTGAAAAAGCACTTTTTCGTTATGTGGGGACCTCAAACCGTGTTTCCGTTGAAATTTGGAATTCGAACTTCCGCAGTATTACATGACTTTCCCTATATTGTGTATAATATTCTAATAAGTAAAAGATGAAGAGAGAGATTTTTCTTTCAAATAAAATTTATTCACCATAGTGAGTTCTTTCATTAAGATAATTTACATTTTTTGAAACTTTTAGTAGTTTTCGCGCAATATTGCGAGCAATATGTGCAATTTTAAAAAATTACAAAAACAAGATTTTCTTAAAAACGGCTTCAATTTTTTTTCTTTATACTTTTGATAGGGATAGTACTAAATACATTCTACAAGATGGCATAAACGCGATATTGCTCTATTCTTTTGTTTTTTCAAAAATTACAAAATGTAATTTTTAATTTGTCTCCCACGTCGTTAGTATTTCATTAACGGCAACTTGTTCACAGCAATTCATTTTTGAGTACATGTGCTTCAAATAATGTCAAATAGTCAAGTTTCTCGAAAACTCAACCGTTTTCTGTTAAAATTAGCTTAAAATTCACATTTTCAGAAACACTCAATCACCATTTTCTCAAAAACTGCTCCAAATGTTTTCTTAAAACTATTTTAACGTGAAGTGCTAACTGCACTGTTTAAGATGATATAGAATTAATTTTGCTGTATTCTTTTGTTTTACTCAAAGTACACAAATGCAGTTTTTTAAATATCACTCACACCTTTACTATGCACATTTCCAGCGGTTTTTACACACTACTTGTGGCTGGAAGTGCTTGAAATAACTTTGTATGAAGTTTGTCGAAAAATCAATAGATTTCTCTGAAAAAGGTTCAAATTTCGCTTTTACAAAAGCCATTTTCTTAAAAACAAATCAAAATTTTTCAAAGAAAATTGCCATTTAGGGCGTAGTTTTACTGTTCTTTAATATTCTTAAAATAATGTATTTGTTCTACTATTACGAAACCGAAAATTTAAGGAAATGTCAAAAAAATGTACTTTGAACGGCGATAGTTAGTAGCTGGCAAAAGTATGTGGCAAGAATAGCTAGCCGATACCAAAGGAACTAGAAAACTAATACGAGAAATTCTGTGCCATTCTGTAGCACCATTACTTTAAATACCTATTGCTCGTGACCGAATCAAACAAATGTAATGGCAAACACTAACCAGACAGATTACACCTTCAATAATTATATACAATTTTCCAAAATTCATCGTTAGGCTCAATGAACGAAGATATGTACGATAGAGGGCGTGCTCGGAAACAGCCTTCGAGATCGCATCCGCGAGAAGTGAGTATTAGATTATTTTGAATAATGAGAAAAAGGCAGTCAGTAAACTCACGTTTTCAAAATTAACAGCATTTAATGCAGAAATTTGTCATCTAAATCGTATATGACACGAATATACATGTAGAAATTCACGTTTAAGACTTTTGCCCAGCCCCACTTCCATCACCACCACCAAGACCGCTGAATCGACTTTGCAAATTGATTCTATCACGATTCAGACTGAGCCCTGCTCTACTCACACCCTCGATGTTAAGGTTCCAGAGCGATCTACTACGGTGGTCGAATTTTTACGTTACGCACCCGGTGGACCATATACTAAGTTATGTTTACTTGACTAAAATGGCCGTATAAGTAAGTTAAAGAATATATGTCTTCTTATTAAAATAATGTTTAAAAATACTTGATCTCTTTTTAATCCCTTATCACCGCGTTCTGAATAATTTTTGGAACACTGTTACAGAAACATTTTCAATTCCTCTATTACGCGCAGGTGTCTTCATTAGTTTCCCCTTCCTTCGCGATATTAGCATCCGAGCCAGCGTCATTGGGTGTCAGCTTGACACAGCTTTTGTTGTATCCAGAACTACGTTCAGAGAGAACTGTCAGCTTAGTTGAAATAATTCTACGAACTTCACATTCATCAAACAATTTTCGATCCCTAGTCCGCTCACAAAAATGTATTTGCAGAATACTTATTTTGGTAATTAAATGGGTTTATCAGGTTGCCACTACGTTTTTGCAATTAAATATCACTAAGATGTGTGCTCTATAACTAATTTTCATGAGCCGTAATGTGAAGATCTTATCGTTGTCTTGATTGCGAAGTGGAATTGTATTGATGGTTGTGTGATTAAAATGATTGAAATGATTAAAAACTATTTTGTATATATGTTGTTTTGAGAATATAAATTATTTGTCCATTGTTATAATTGTACTTGAATATTATTGAGAGCTTTTGAAGTGGCTTCATGACTTACCTCTTTGCTGTTCTGCTGCTTCAGGGACATGATATGATTCTGAAGGTCGTCGGGCATATTGTCCGGAAGAGGGTCAGAGTCATTGTAGAACGCAGGGTTCCAGTTGAATATCTGCGACAAAATTGTTTGAAAGCACAAAAGTTTCGACATATTTGTAATCGTTTTCTTAAACAATGATTGTTTTGAGTTAAACATTGATATTCAATTTTTTGATGGAGTTTTTTTTTTGCAATCGCACACTTTCTGAATATTTGTATTCTTCCTGTCGTCTCTACACTTTCATGTTTTTAACTAATTAATTAACTGAAATTAAGATTTAAAACATAAAGGATGATTGTTCTATCTTATTTAATAGCACTAAATTTATAGAAGTATTGTACATTTTAAAAATAGTTCCTTCTCAGTATCTGTTCTGGGGGTGAGCTGTGTCCAGTACTGCGACTTTTGTAGTTGGTAGACTACTCGTGTATTGACTTCTAGAAAGCCTAGGTGTTTCATCACGTTTCTCATATGAGGTTTCTCCAATAAGGGCCTCTCATATAAGGCCCCCAATTATTCCGTGACATTAATTTGCACATTCTTTAAACTATCTGAAGCGCATGATATTTCTTTAATTGTTCCGCATATGTGTGTATTTATGTAAGGTGTGTGAAAGCTATCGTGATAAAAATACCCCAAATTGTAAGTTGAATTTCACAAAGAATCGCGGAAAACATTTTTTCCAAAAAAAAAATTGTCTTCGAGAAAATTGAATTTAAATTTTACTTCCGGGTGCACAATTCACTCCGGTTGCCGCGCACTCACAGACAGCTCGCGTCTGCAAGGGTGGTGGGCAATGCCCCGTTTCTCGGTGCCATCTTTGAAGCCGTCGTGTGATTGTTCATGACATTCAACATCAAATACGGGTATTTTTGCACTCGAGAGGCGGGGCTTGCCTTGTTGAGCTTGAGGAAGACGCAGGGCGCGGAGCGGTGGTACTGGTAGTGGCTCTCGGTGGAGCAGTTGCCGAAGGACTGGATGGGCACGTCGCACACGCGGCCCTCCTCGGGCCCCGTCGTGTAGTTGCAGGGCACGCGCTTCTCGCCAGGCGCGGGCTGCCGGTACGCTGCAAGCAACGCACACCCCGCGCCCTGAGCAATTCCTCACCTATTAATTTAAAGTTTTGCACACGCTTTATTAATACAATTGGAATATTCTATGTTTAACCATTCAGTAGGTATTTACGATTTCATTGACATTTTAATCAATTACACAAAAAGCTTTATGCAAGGAATCTGTAAGCTGGTCACTCTCAAATATATTTTTGGTTCCATAAGCTTAGAATAAAGAAACCTACAAGAAGCTTTTTCAGAAATGTCTGTTTATTTGTTAATAAAAGAATGCAATTGATATGACGTTTTTCTTTGATTTTTAAAGGGAAGTTTCATCAAGAGATTAAATTATATGGGTATTAATGGCTACATAAAATTTTATTCTAACAGTTTATTAGTTTACATCTTACGCTCAACGACTAAAAGTTCAAACAAATTGAATAAATTTGTGGTTTAAGGAGCGTTTTTAATAAATGAAAGTTCTGAAAAACTTCTCTAGGAGAAAAAGCCATTTGAAGTTCTTCTGTTGGGTTGCCTTATTTCCATTCTAGAGTAATATTCTTGGCTATCCATTGTACTACAACACATTTTAAAACTGTTTTCAGATGTTTGACATTAAGGTCCAGGCATTACTTCTTAATAATTTCAAATCTTCATTAGGACTAATGAAAATTCTTCACAAAAAACAGTTTCTAGCCTTAAAGGGACCGCAATCACTTACGCACTGATCTTAAATGATTGCATGTCAAGCCCTGAATATGCCATGAAAATATTTCCAAAAATTATTTCAAAACATGAAAGTAGAAAGATGGAAACAATAAAAACACATAAAACAAAACCGATATTTTTGGGATTTTTCATCGAAATTTTACAAGAGCCTTCAATAGAGAAGGCTTATCTCTAACGTATGATGGTATTCCACGCGGTTGAATTTGTCACAGCTCTTTTTCCCCTCTCGCAGACGAGAACGAAGGAATCATTTAAAGAGCAGTTCAGTGCCAGACTGTACCCGTTGGTATGTTACTATGACCAGCCTAACTCACAAAAAACTCCCTTCATATTTATGAAGGCAATTTGTCGTGACAAAAAGTTTGTAAAATATAGATTATAAATTAAAACTATAAATTATATTACATATAATTTATTAGTTTGTGAAATATATTATACAAGTAGTATAAAAAGTATGTATATGGAAGGCACACGGAGGGGGCAAGTGATGTTCGAACTAATGGAAGAATCGCGACACTATTTTGGAAACTACACGAGCGCTTCCAAAGCTCCTGGTGCGAAATGTGTGAGCTTATTCTGCGTAACGTCCCCTTTAATTGAGAGTGATCATTGTGAGTTCATGACCTCATGAACCTCGCAGTGCACCCGCTCGCGCTACGCACTTTCGCGTCACATTAACTACGCGCACTTGTAGATAGCGATTGCTTCTAGAATATTGTTATGTCAAAATATATAATAACTGGTCATTTTTGGTTGCCTTTCTCAATTAAAAATAGTAGTATTTTTGCATCAAGTCTGCATGAAATATGCTCAATCAATATGAATAATTGATACTTGAAAGAAAAGAAACGTCTACATCTCAAGGGACTCTTTAGATGAAGTCACAGTATTTTAGGGTACTACAGTTGAAAATTAACATTATTGGAGGTTTTTTAGTATGGATTATCGATATTTGTCTGAGGCCAGATACGTCATCGCTCCCATGAAATCCATATTCAGTGAGAATCAAATAAATAAAATGGCTTAAAGGCTACCATGAAGGAAATATTAGTTCTCGATCTGAATAGCTAGGTAGGTATTAATCAATAGTTTCTTCATCATTGACCACTGACAGAAGAGCAAGGCAGAAATCAAACGATTTTGCTGATCTTACCTTCTAGAAATTTGTCCAATTCCTCCGTCCAATATTTGTAGTTCTCGTTGGAGTCGTGGTACCAGATGAGCGTCGACTCTACATTCTCATCGGGTGGCATGGGGCGGAATCCCAGTCCTACCAGCATCAACATTATATATCAATATTACATGTTTAGGAATTAATGAGCGCATTAACCTATATCAATCCCCTATTCTGTTCTTGTATGATCCTACTATTTTACAGTGAACGTACTATGTGCCTAGGGGATATAATGATCCACGTAGTTTGGCAATTATTACAGGCGTCATTTTCGGCAAAAATCCATTTTCTCCCAAACAATAGCCTATATCAAGATGAAAGCAGAAAATAAAAGCAACTTTTTACTGATATGAATATTACAAAAAACGTTTTCCTAAATGGAGAAAATTTACCATTGTATCAGTGTAAGTTAAAAACATATTTAAATAAAGATATCCTTTATATTATCTGATATCTTCCTTATACTAAGGAAAACTGTACTCTGAGCGTAATGTAAATTACAGAACATAACCGATATTTACATCTTCGATTTCGTCTCAAAATGTTACATTTCTAACTTAACATGAATCAAATGCAAGTATAAAAGTTCATATTGTTTCCAGTTCTCACAGAGTATCAACTTGAAAAAGACCAACAGATCTCGTTTTCATAATTTGTCGTGAAGCTGCTGCTTAGTCTGCAAACGGGATGTGACCCCTTTCCTTTGTGCTGACGAACAAATAAACAAATTTAACCACAACAAAACAAAAATTGTGTATCATAACTGCTAGAACGTAACATGCACGCTGTCGTTTAGCGTTACGAAATGAAATGTCAAGAAGGAGATAACTGAAAGGCAGTGATAAAGAAAAAGAACGAGTCTTCTGAGTATAAAACTGTAAAGATTAGTTGTACGAATCGTAATTTGAGCATTTGTGAAACAAGTGACGCGTTGTCTACGAGACTGAACAGGAGCGAAAAGAGAATGGACGCCTTCAGGCGATGCTTTTGTCAGCGCAACGCTTGGCTCCCGCCCCCCGCCCGGGATCTCCCACGCAAAAGAGGGTGTTGCCATTTCGTGTAAAATGACCACAAAATGGTCACCTGTGATCTTGTTTTGATTGTTTTTGTAATTTTTAGATATGAAAAAGGTAAACATTTTTTTTCTCTACTAGCTCATTTACAGCTTACACTTATTAAACATATTTCTTTTTGGATTTTCAATAGTAAGAGATTGAATGTGTTCACTACTCTGACTAGTGTTGACAAACTAAATTGTTTCATGAAAGCGGCCATGAAAGTTTTTTGTGAAATTTCACCACAATTTTCCGCAAGGAGGTTAGTTACAAAGAAAGTGAATTTTTAAGAATAAGTTGCATCTTGCATGATGAAAAGTCATTAGCATATTTTTATGGTCTCGTACGTATTTGCGGAGTAATTATACGAAGTATAGTGAAAATTGAGTAATGCGGAAAATTGATTTCGAGATTTCAGCAGAAAACCATGATTTGGGATCCCCTGATATCGAAAAAAGTTGTTTTTTGTCTGTCCCGCCTATATGTCTGTCCGCCTGTCTGTCTGTTTATCTACCTGTCCGTCTGTCTTCCCGCCTATCCGTCTGTCCGTCCGTCTGTCTTGTCTGTCTGTCCGTCCGTCCGTCCGTCCGTCCATCTGCCGGTCCGCCCAATGTCTGTCCGGCCATCTGTCTGTCCGGCCATCTGTCTGTCCGGCCATCTGTCTGTCCGGCCATCTGTCTGTCCGGCCATAATTACTGTCCGTCCGTCTGCTCGAATATCTGTCTGTCCGTCCTCCGTTTATACGCCTGTCGGCTTGTCCGCCCGTCTGTCTGCCCGTCTGTTTTCTAAAATGGCTCCTTCATGTTCGCGGGGTCGGTGTCGGTACTCCAGAAGTCAATATCCCATTGACTACAAATATATTTGTGAATTTTATTATTACTTCTAATGCTTTAATTTTGTTTTTGAAATCTTGTCTATATTTGTGAGTTTAAAAACAGAATAGCAAAAAATAAAGCCAACTGTTTTTTCCCCAACATTGTTCATTATTATTTGGCTAATTGTTATCTTTAAGAACAAGTGTTTTACGATAATTTTGTATTCTTCATATTATAGAAAAAATGGAAGGGGTTCGATGAAGCAAAGCTTTGTTTTGAAAAGGGGTCGATGCCTTGGCGTAGTGTGAGAAGTGTGACTTACCCGGGTTGTCTCCAATGAGGGAGCGCGACAGTTGCCACTTGGGCACACGCATGTCGATGGTCTGGTAGAAGACGGCCAGCATGGCAAAGAAGTAGCCCGTCAGCGCGGCGTAGAACAGCAAGTAGAAGAAGAGGATCTTCGCTGCGGCACACAAACACATGCAAAAATACATGCAATATGTGTGAGGAGAGAAGCTTGCGAGAGGATAAATGGCCCTCTGCAGGCAAAAGCACCCAACATTCTGCTAGCAAAATCACAAAACGCTCACTGCGTGTACCATACACTATTTTCTGTTATACCAGCATTACAAAGGACTATTTTGATTGCAAAACATCGTTCATAAAAGAGCATTTTGTGTCACACACGGCATTTTGTGGCACGGTCAGTCCTTGCCGCCTTCTGCCCGTCCTCCCCGCCCGTCCTCCCCGCCCGTCCTCCCCGCCCGTCCTCCCCCCGTCCTCCCCGCCCGTCCTACCCGGCCCGTCCTCCCCGCCCGTCTCCCCGCCCGTCCTCCTCCCGCCCGTCTCCCGCCGTCCTCGCCCGCCCGTCCTCCCCCCCGCCCCCGTCCTCCCCGCCCGTCTCCGCGCTCCCCGCGCCTGCTCGCCTCTCCCCGCCGTCCTCGCCGCCCGTCCTCCCGCCCGTCCTCCTCCCGCAGTCCCGCTCCCCCGCCAGGTCCTCCCCGCCCCCCCCCCAGTTTTCCCCTCCCCAGCCGCGCCGTCCTCCCCGCCCGTCCTTCCCCCGCCCGTCCTCTCCGCTCGTCCTTTGACACTGCTTCACTTGAAAAATAATCGAACCAAAATCGAAGTCGCGTAACTTAAACATGCTCTGCAGCAGTCAATTTCAAGGAACTGGTGGTGCATTATTCGGGAGTTGACCTGTTCCTCTTGCGACGGCTCAATACTCGCATAGGACCTCTTTTTCTCCGATCGCGCTCCTTTTTTCTCATACATTACATATCCTTAACGAAAATACGTTTTTACTTTCTCGCCTTGCTATGTACTTTCATAAAGAATAAGTATTGTAATACTGCAGCGGAAATTGGCGATTTTCCGACAGAAAAAACTCTTATTATCCAGGAAACAAAAATGTGGATAAATCTTTTTCTTATATGTAGTAAATTACTTCTTCTAACACGCTGGTAAAAGACTGATTAAACAATCAGGATGCTTTGAGAGTTCGAGTTGGCTGGAACGAAAAGTCCATGAGTTTTCAAGTCCATGAGTGATGGAGTAGATGTAATGTTAAGTAATAGTTAATAAATAATAAATGATGTAATGTTAATGTTAAAGTTTCCATGAGCAGTATTTTGGTTCATTTTATGTGTAGAAGATAGGTCTCCGATCATGAAAGTGAAACTAAGCAGGTAGTAGCAATGCAGTGGACGGAAATGAGGCCGAAATAGATATTCATGAACTTTTACGTATTTCAATTTCTCTATTTCATTTTTATTTTATACTTTTATCGATTGATCAGTGGCGGCTCGTGCTTAGGTTGCAAGGTTGCACAAGCCCCAGCTAATCTAAAAATATTTTAAAATATATTAGAAAAATGCATTTCCCTTTTAATGACATTAAATATTCAAGATATTGCAGCAATATGTATATAGTATACAAAATATTTTTTTAATCCAAAGAGCACCCGAGCGCTCTCCCTGTCGTCTGGTGCTCTCCGAATCCTTCGCATCATGTCACGCTCTTGGCTCTATTCATTTACTCTTTGGCCTTGCGCTTCAGCACAGATAGCGTACTCGATAGGGCATGTTGTGGCGCAACCAGTTTTCTTCCTGCATGGAGGGTCTGGTCACCGAGCGGATCACGGCATCGGAGGGGAATACCAATTTTCTGTCTTCGTCTGACACTTGCAGTAACTTAATTTTATGAATCTCTCGTGTTATTGAAACAACGCAAGTTTACTCAATTATTGATGGTATTGAATGCATTATTTATGTTTGGAAAATTTGGTTTTTATTTTATATTAACTTTGTTGATTCAGAATGTATATTGATGAGTTTTTTATGTAAAATTTGCCGTTCTGGAAGGCAGTCCCTTCCTGTCTTTCGCCGTGGGGGCGTATTTCCGGCTTCAGTTACAGATGACAATTTGAAACCGCTGTTGTGAATACGAGTGTGTGTGGAAGATCTTTCATTATTACAATATATACCAGGGAAATGAAATTTTTGAAATAAATAATTTTATTTGTGTAAAAACTGTCCAAACAATTGCGTGTTTTACAAGGTGCTGGTGTGTTATCGTCGTACTTTCGAAACTAAGTTTTTTGTTTGATGTGAATTTTAATACTGTCAATTGTCTCAATTCATAACTGATACAAAAACTTACGTGCCCACAGGAAATCAAAGGCAAAATCACGTCCGCGAGAGGTAAATATACCTGACCTAGACACTACGCACAAAGTTGTGCAAGTAATGTTTCAATATTGACTTTTATTAAGCTTAGTTTTAAATAATGTACATGAATTGCTTACATTTTATTATATATTAGTGTTCCGAGCTATTTTGGAGCTTACATTATCGTCATTCACTGCAACGTCCAATTTGGTGGGTAACCAGTCGCCACTGCGCTTGATATATTATCAAACTCGTTAATGTTTGCTTATATATTAGTACTCCTTTTTTATTTTACAAAAGTTAAAGTAATGAATTAATAGTTATTTATGATAAGAATGGAATAAGTGACCTTTTATTTTGCGACTAAGAAATGTTACGACACAAGGCCGGCAGACTGAGTAGCGCAATCCTACGAGCAAAATAATATCACTTTTACTACGTGTGTCATATACAATGTTTTAGACAGCCTGATTAACTTTCATTTTATTTTAATTGAAGTATACAAATCACTTACAGATATATTAAGGGCAGTAGTAGCTGATGTGATCATGCGAAAGTATTTTTCTTTGTTGCATTGTCAGATTTATCAGAACACTTGAGCATCGTCTCACTTTTTGTACTAGTGCTAAAAATTGATCTTTTAGCACGCTATGCATGCCCTCGAAAGAGCCACTTTTTATAGTAGCTGTATAAAAATACTTTTTTTTAAATTTTTCACTGTACGATTACTTTTTCCTGCCAGCACTTTAGACTGACGTGTAGTCATATGTGGCGGCAACTGTTTAACGCACGGGTTGTAGGTTCCAGAAAATTCTCACGGGGACATTTAGGGAGATGATTGTTTCCATATGACATAATTATAATAAATAAAAATTACAATGCCCAAGATGTTTGTAATATTTCGTCATCAGTGTGCTACATCGTTTAGAAGACGCAGGCAATGAAACATCAGAAATACTCGCATTTGATTTGGAGAGAATATCGTGGTTAATGTTTATATTTCTTAGGAAATATACGTTATTTCAATTCATACTCCTTTATTACATGCGGTTCGATTTTGTTTTGTGCAATATCTTTTCTTTCTCGAAAATTAACAATGTAAAGTTTTTTTTCTTATTCAAAAGCATAAAATATTTATATTTTCATACACCATGAGTTGCACTTCGATAAAAGTAATAATGACTTGATCAAAAAAAGAGCATTAACAATCACAACGTTCCAAAGGTATTTGATTCGTACGTATCAATCGCAGACGCGATTAGTGGTTTTCGTGCTTCTGAGAACAGTGCGGCGCTTTCACGTAAGTGCGCATTTTAATCACAGAAGTTGGTTGTTTTTGTAGGAGGTGCTCGCAAAATGAACGAGTCCTATTGATCACGTCCAATCCAATTCACCAACCTGACCTTTACCCTTTCTGGGAACACAGCGCCCTCGGTCACACGCTGTTTCTGCCGCCTCCCCAGTTCGCCTCCAGGGATGGCAACAGATGCAATGCCCTTTCGTCCTCGAGGGACTTCCCCGACCGCACACCCTTTGCTTTCAGCTGCCAAAGGTTGGTTAGCCTGCTGACGCGGCACAGTAGCCCTGCTCGGCTCAAAGGCTGAGTTCAGTCCTCCTTAAAGGACAGGCGCGTTCACGTTACAGCTTTGAAAATTGCTGTTTAGTCACCTAAAATAGGCTCAAAAAAGCATTGTAATTAGGTATAGAAATCAATATAAATTGATTATCGAAAAGTTTCATTTTACAATCTTTTTAAGCTATTGTCTACGTTGAAAATCGAGAATAAACAACAGGGAAATAATTATTGATGACGAGACAAACGTAAAATCTGATATAAATTAACAATAATTTATCGATTTTATATATGTTCCTCGGTTGTAAAGCGGTCGAGTTCTGTAAGAAAATATCACAAAATAACGTTTACTTTTCAAACATTTTCATTTTGAAGTTCTTAATTATCCTGGATGGAATAAACTGTGTGTGCCTCTCATTGAACCGTTGGTGCATAGGATCTTCAAATCGAACTCTCTGGACGATTCGTATGAGTTTTTGATGCTCGTGTTGAAAGGTTTTGTAAGGTTTTGCGTATAGGTAACGCAGAGCAGAGAAGAGCATTATGAAGCTTCGGCCGTGCAAAATATTGCTAATGTAATCTCTCATAATTAAATGGAACGACCGCTTTGAGCACTTAATTACTGTGCAGCGATTGTCGCTTGTGACCATTTGATTCGGCGCCCAGTTTTCCGCGTGAGGTTCACGCTCGGCATTGCAGCGTCGGCTGGGCAGCGCCCCTCCTCGGCCCTGCAGAGTCAGCTCTGCACTGTGGAGCTTCCCAAAGCCCTTCCTGTCCAACCCCACTAAGCCTGCCCCTCCCCAAAGGCTCTCCATTCCAACGAATCTTTTGGAATAGCATTAACCGGCTTAGGTGTCTCAGGACATCAATTGAAGTGACTGCGGTGCCTCTGTCCCGGAGGTCCTAAGTTTCCCCTTCCGACTGTGGCAGGATTTTTCGCACAAGTCATCTAGCTAATAGTTGGAGTTCGTCTGTTGTCTGGAGGAGAATTCTAGCGACCGTCTACTCTAATCGGTAGTTTTTCGTGGTTTCTCCGATCAACACCGTACGTATATCGCAGCAGTACCCTAACAAACGGGCCGCAAGCGATCTTTCCCCCCTCTTCCTTGTGTTTTCCACTTCTCGCGATAAAAGCTTGCACCACATGTACGGGTGCGCCCGAAACTAGTCGCTCAAATATTATTGAGTAATCAATGAAGACGGTACTGAACGAGATCGAAACTGTTATAATAGAATCATTGAG